CTCAGTGGTTAATGCCCCTGGGTTAAATCCCCAGTACCCCCTTCCAAAAAATACACTAAATAAACAAATTGGAATATATTCGTACCACATACCATCACATACTGTTAGAACACACTACTGCTCCATGTAACAAGATGGATAAATGTTTAGTTTAAAAAAAAAGCCAATGCTTGCTTCATATTTCCATGTATGTGAAGTTCGAATACATGGTTCAAATCCAAGCAAAATTAATTGATGAGGATAGAAGACAGAATAGTGATTACCTTTGCAGAATATTGACTGGGATTTGGAGGCAGCTTCTGGGGTGCTGCAAATGTTCTAGATCTTCATCTGGCTGATGGACTACAGAAAATTTCACTGCTCTGTACTTTTACATTTTGTGAATTTTATATCATCATGTCATTCCTTGTTTTTAAAATTTTTAAGGTGAATAAAACAAACATAATTTGGTTTATTATATCTCCACTGAACAAAGACACAGGAGGTGGCTGATGAGGGATCCATCTGAGGAGTCCCTGAAGATCCCCTCACCCTGCCACAGCATTAGTTGCTCCTGTATCAGCAAACACAATGGAACACACATAGCTTGAGACGGGCAGCGGGCGTCATGTGGTGGAGCTCTTCTTAGTTTTACATTTGATGCCCACATCAACCCTGGCCTGGGGTTCTCTGCCCCCTTCTCTTCCTCTGCCTCCCTCCACACACCATTTATAGATGAGGACATTTTAGACCCAGGACATTCCACAATCCAGAAGAAAGGACACAGCGGTAGTAGTTTCCTAGGTTACAGCCTGGAATTCCCCTGGAATCATCTCTCCAAGCCCAACAAGAGGGGTGAGGACTCTTCTTCAGTATGCTGGTGGAGCACTCATGATTTCCAAATGGGTGTAACCTTTTCTTCCAGGCAACACACCTTAGCCTAGGAGAGTAGCCTCCACTGAGGATCTCTGTTTTGAAAATCTCTATTCAAAATCTCTTCAAGACTCTGTAGAGAATAACCTAATAGGCTATTCTTATAAAGAATACTACTTTTAAAGTAGAAATTCTTAAAAGTCATAAGATGCAAGTCAGGGGAATTTTAAAAGGAGCAAAATATATATGGTGATGAAATAATATAACTAGAAATAACCACAGATATTCTGAGCCTGTAGTAGGTGGCCAGTAAAAGGGAATTTGTTAGGTGGTAGTTAGCAGCGAAATGCAAACCAATAACATAAAAGGGTCATGGATTTTCTTTAAATTGCTTTCAAGGCAAATGAATAATGGAGCAACTTGTAGAAAAATAACAGGTGCACAAAGCCTGAGAATAAACAGGTGGAAACAAAAGGAACAAATTAAGAAATGCATCAAGAAGGAATGACCGATCCGTGGGGCTAACTCCTGACAGGGTCTGCTGGTGTCATTGCAGAGTTAGGACTTAATGCCATAGATTTCTCAATGTATTTCAGAAGATAAATTCTGTTCTCTAGCCAGAGATGCCCCACTCGCTCTCTCTTGAGAGTGCTCTCTGCTGGAGCCTTACTGTGCTATAATAAAATTCTCTTGCTTGACTTTTCATGTCTGACTTTAAGTTTTCTTTCATTAGGACCCAAGAACTGAGGATAAACATTTATCCCCCACCCAATCCAAGCAAAATTAATTGGTGATGATAGAAGATAGAATAGGGGTTACCTTCTACCTGCAGCGTTCAAACACCTGTGTCAAGAGACGCAGAGAATGAGGTGATAGGTGGTCAGGGAAAAGTGAGTTGGATGGGGCAGTGATACCCCATGAATCATCTAGGGATCTGCTCTCTTGTTTGAATGACCCAGACATTTTGTAAAGACTTCAGGTGTGAGCACTGTATCTCTACAGTGACATGTGTTCCTCTTCCATGTAAGGAGGGTGGTCAAGCTGGGCACCCATTCTGAATATTTCATAATTTCTTTGACCCACATACGTCGCCATCATTCTGTGGTCATGTGGTCCCAGGGTTGTGCCGAAGGCTGTGTTTGAGGAATTTAGAAGCAGTTTGCCTCCCATTCCATATGAGACATGCTGCAGTTGCCAAAAAGCATCTTCCACCTTAGTCTGAGTAGGGCTGCCATGTGGGTTGGTACAGGGCACCTGTGGCAGTTCCACTAAGGTCTGATGGAAGGAACAAGGTGGCTACCGTTCTGTGCTGGCTCACCCCAGGTAGAAGCTTCAGGTATACGAT